AAGACACAAATTTGACTAACAAGTTATAAGTACATGAGTCCAAAAATTATGGAAAAGTAAAAGAAAAGATTCTTTCATTGTTTTACAAACCCTCCCCAAGGTCCCCTCCACCATGCAGCCCTCGCCCTAGTCTCCTGTGATGACAGAAATACCCAGTTACATCTCTCTTTTAGACGGTGATTCGACCTCATTAACATCATCCAATGTGTTATTAGAATGGACAACACATTGTGTAATTACACAATTCAATCCATAACTCTCTCTCAACAACCTGCCAGACAGTTCACTTATCACTTTCAGGTCAGGAAACAGACCCGGGGAAGCTGGGTGAACTGGTCAAGGCCACACAACTGTCAACAGGGACATCAGGTCATGGAGTCCTACATCTGGACCCTTTTTACTGAAGCAGTTCCCCCCTCGTCCTGAGGACTGGAGTGAAGATGCTCGCGTTAGCAAGAGCCACGGGGGTCCACCCAGTCCCACACATGCAGAGAGGCATCATTAGCTGCCGAAAGCAAAGTCCTCGGTTTGGAAGGGTGCCAGACATGGGTGGTGACCAGAGGCGCAGTGTCCTGCTCATGTCCATCTAGAAAGATGTGACCCCTGTGAATGAAGAGAGGCTCTACGTGAGTCCCCGTGCTGTCCCAAGACGTGACATCATAGACCTGGATTGTTCCATCAAAACCTGAGGAAGAAATAGAAAACGGAGGACTGAGATGGAAGCCACTCAAAGAGTTTTTTTTTCCAAAGTTTCTCTGTAGTAACAAAGCAAGCTAAGGGATGAGGCATCAAAAAGAGAGATGCCTCACAGGGCACCTATTTGGCCCCAAAAGAAGTGAATGAGACTTCTGCCCTGAATGTTGACAACTAATTATTTCTCTGAGCACCTAACCCTGAGAGCGCAGGATACAGGGCACACCTGCTGTCCACCTACTGCAGCCAGCCTGATGCTAATCCCGGACACAGGACTTCTAATCCACACAGCTGTATGAAGTCAACCAAAAACCACTGTCATTGAGTCAAATTCCAACGAACAGTGACCCTCTAAGAACAAAGCAGAATTGTCTCAGAGAGTTTTCGGTAAATCATTACAGAAGCAAACTGCTGCATCTTTCTCTCAAAGAACGGCTAGCAGGTTTAAACTGCCAACTGCTAGAGCTCCTTTGTGTATTAAGTACTGTTACTTGTATTGTTGTTGATTGTCTTAGTGTAGAGCACGACTTATAGCGACCTATGAACAAAAGGCCTGAAGCTCCTCTACAACTATCGGCATGTGTCAAAGTTCATCGAGTTTCCAGAGGCATGTTGTTTAGGAAGTGGATGCCACTCCTGCTGCAAAGTTAAGGCACTAATATTCCTTCCAAGAAGTTCTGGTGGTGTAGAGTGTGCTGTGCACCCACAGCAATTCAAATCTACCAGCAACTCTGCTCCAAGGGAGAGAGATGGGTAGTCTCCTGCTCAGATTTAGTCTCAGAAACTGATGGAGGGTTGCTCCAAGTATGAACTGACTCCTTGGCAATGAGCTTTGAGTTTATTATTTTCTATAGGAAACTGAGGCCTAAGAGATACTTTCAGACCTTCTCCGCTTGCTCTAATCTCCAGTCGTCCCCTCACTGTTCCCTCCTCACAGATCGCCCTGTCTCCTGATGCGGAAAACGGAAGCATTTAAAGAGTAGCATGTTCATATGTCCCTGGCTGCTTGTTACAGAAAACCCTTCGACTCCAACTCTGTTTTTCTCTTCTGCCCTTCCCAGGTCCTTCACTACCAATTATGCAATCAATTCCTACCTCTCGTCCTTTCCACTAACTTTTAGAAACACTCTTCCAAGTAGGTACCACCAGACCAAACCACAGTGAACTTGCTACAACTTAAAAGTAGACTAAGTTACATCATTTAATAAAATTTTTAAAAGTTAAAATCTTTGAGGGCAGAATCTGTGTCTAATTTATTATTCTGTTCTGTACTTAGTAAATACTTAATAATTTTTTTTTAAAGTAGTCTGGGGGGGGGGGGGGGGGGGGGGTTGTGCGGGGAGAAGGGTGCAACAATGAATGAATGGAATCCCAGGGTCTCTGTAGATGTTCATTGAAATGAAAAATAAACAACCTAAATTTAAAAAAAAAAAAACAAACCTATAGCCTTCTGTATGGATTATATTTCAACAACAAGATGATAAAAATATTCACTATTAGACCAATATGCAACATAATAAATGGAGAAAAGATTAAAAAAAATATTTTGTTAATTTTAATGAACATTTACAGAGATTTTGCATTTCAATTCAGTCATTCTTGCACTATTTTCTCTACCCTCTCCCCACAGTTAGTTCTTTTGTTTTTTTTTCCTTTCCCTTGAAAGTCTGTTTTAATTGTCCCATTGCCACAGTGCTTGTCAAAAACCGGTTTTAATTAAAAAAAAAAAGTAGTCTGAGAAACCACCCTGGTATCCTGCCATTTTTCTTTCTGCTAACAGTCCTATCCATGGTCTTGTTAGCCAATCTCTTGATCAACCTCTGAACTACTTTCTGGAAGAGGAAAGGGCAAGAAAAAAAATGCATGTAAGAGTAATAAGCCAGGGAAGAACTCGGCAGTTCGTGTGGAGTTTCTCTGTGACTGACGTTAAGACCTGGGGCCACATCTGTCCTTAGAAGATGTGATCTCTGTGAGTGAATGAGGTTCTAGGTGGCTCCTCACGCCACTTCAAGATGTGACATCACAGACATGAACTGTTCCATCAAAATCTAAGAGGCACTTCCTGAACATTCTATTGTACCTAGAAGAGAGAGAGAAACTCTGCTTTAACAGTACCTGAAATAGCTAGGCAGTTATCCAGGACTGGCGCCCACATCACTCGTAGCAGCTCCGGGTCCGGGCTAGGCTTGGACACTGGGCACTGGACTAAGCTCACAGGGTGCTGGAGATTCCGGGGGTCAAGAAGACAGAGCTGCCCATCTGAGCCAAGGTGAGCAATGTTGGGCCCTGGGTCCTGGCCCTTGCCACGAACTTGTGCACACCACTGGCCTCCACCAGACCTTGGGCTGGGGTTGAGGCTTTCATGCGGTGCCCACTTCTGTCGAATGTCCACAAGTCCCAGGCGGCCTGAAGTGCAGCAGAAGGCAAAAGTGTCTGCACCCAAGATCTGCAAGCTACTCAACACCTCACTGTCATCAATGCCTACAAGACAGAAGGGAAGTGGAGAAAAGATAGGGAAAACACATGGGAATAGAGACTTAACAGAGCTGACCGGTCACAGTCCCTTTTCTCTGTGAAGTTTTCTACACAGTCTCAGAGGTAGGAAATGAAGTACTTCCCTCCTCTCTTCTCAGCTAGGTAAGTGCTGGCCCCTTGGGTGGCCTCCCTCAACCTCCAAATGGGAGCCTTGTGGTTCGGGCTTGCTTCTGAGTCATACTGTTCCCCAGCCTCTGGCATCAAGGACTCAATGAGCCACAGAAGATGTCTGTGCTCAGCTGGCAGGTACTGGCTGGAGGGAGCAGCAGGGCGTACACAGCTGCAGTACCTGAGGCATATGTGGTCTTCTGGGACTCCAGATCTGTAATCCTCAGACTGCAGAGCCTCATCCCATGGAGGACGCCAGGGCCCATGGAGGAGAAGACAGCCAGCCTCGGCCAGAGATGCCCGTCCTCTTCATGCACAGCAATGGTGCTGACAGTTTTAATAACATCTGCGGGGTGAAACACTGTATGGTGAAGGCCAGCTGGTCATCCTCAGCCTTTCACTGAGCCAAGAGAGGGTGTTGAGACATAAACAGTCCGCGTTATGTTTACAAGTGCTGTCAGAAGCACTTTCATTTCTTTATGTTTTATTAATTATTTTTATAAATGGGAGATAATGAATCATAGCAGACATCTCAAAACCTCAAAAGCAGCTCTGGCTTTTTATAGTTTTGTGGAGAACACATGAAGGAAAAGGAAAAGACATTTACACCTTAAGTGAAAAGTAACAGGTACAGAGTTTATGCAGGGGATCTGGCGCAGGAGTTAAGTGCTCAGCAGCTAACCCGCAGTTTGAGGCCACCAGCTGTTCACTGGGATGTGCAGTGTCTTCCCCATAAAGATTTATAGCCTCAGGACGCTCAGACAGTACTGTTTCTTCAGAAACAGGTGTCAGACTTCAAGTCATTTGCTGAAGCCAGCAGATAAGACAATGCAAGTATCACTGTGTCAGCCAGACACCAAGAAAGCCCACATCTTTTTTTATACTAAATGGTAGAAAAAGATATTTGACCTCAAAAAGAATAAAATTTTAATTTTGTTTATCTCAACCTACTCTGTAAACAGGAAGGTTCCTATCTCTATATTCTACATTTTAAGGCTTCTCTCTTTTTTTAAATTTAATTTTATTTAATTTCCATTCATTCATTGTTGCACACTTTTCTCCCTGCCTACCCCCTCCTCCCAGTTTGCTTTTCTCTTTGACAAGTAAAAAAAAATTCTTTCGTTGTTATACAATACCCTCACCCCCAGTCCACTCCACTATGCAGCTTTCATTCTGGACTCTTGTCATGACAATAATACCTAATCATATATTCCTCCTAAACAGTATTCTCCCTCATCTGTTTCAATGCAGTATACTCACTCTCCCTACAACCCCAATGTCAGTCCCACTTTACAACAGTGGCATTATGCAGTATCTGTCCTTTTGTGACTGACATATTTCACTTAGCATAATATCCTCGAGTCACCCATTTTGAATAATATTTCATGAGTTCCTTGCTTTTTCAATACAGCATAGTATTCCATTGTGTGAATATACCAGAGCTTCTCTATGCATTCACTTGTTGATGGGCACTTGGGTTGTTTCCAACTCTTTGCTATCATAAACAAAGCCACAAGAGACATGGGTGAGCATATATCTGCTTGGGTGGACGCTCTGGTTTGTTTGTTTTTTTTATTAAAAACATTTTTTTCTACTATAAAATTCTATTATTTTTTCTATTATAAAATTCCAATTATGGTTTCTTTAGGGTATATTCCCAGTAGTGGAATTGCTGGGTCAAATGGTATTTCTATTTCCAACTTTTTGAGAAAGCATTTAAGGCTTCTCTTAATAGAATCTATTTACAATTCAGAAAGAGCAACTCATAGTACAAATTACTCTCGGAAAAACTTACTTTTCAGTTCTTATTTTCTTTGGTCTAGGAGGCTTTTATTTTTTGGTTTCCATATTCTTTGGAGAAAACAGAATCCCTATATTTTTTAAATCCCAAGAGATAGGTAAAAGCCAGAAGGGGAAAGGAAATGGATAAGAAAAGGAACATTAAAATAGTATATCAAGTACCTCAACAAGAAAAAGGTAAACAACCCAATCACAAAATGAGCATGAGATATGAATAGTTCACCAAAGAAGACATACAGATAACACATGAAGAAATGTTCAAAACTGCTAGCTATCAGAGAGATGCAAATAAAAACAACTAAGAGATACCATTTCACTCCAATAACAATAACAAAGTTTAAGAAGGCAGAAAGCAAATTCTGGCAAGGTTGTGGAGAGATTAGAACTCTTATTCATGGGTGTTGAAATATAAAATGGTACAGCCACTATGGAAAGGTGGTCTGGCATTTCTCAAAAAGTTAGGGGGGAAAAAAGCTGGAAATAGAAATACCATTTGATCCAGGAACTCCACTACTGGGAATATACCCTAAAGAAACCAGAACTATGACTCAAACAGGTGTATGCACACCCATGTTTATTGTTGTATTATTCACAATAGCAAAGAAATGGAAGCAACAAAGTGCCCATTTACAAATGAATGGATAAACTTTGACATATTCATCCAATGGACCATTAAATAGCATTGAAAAACAGTGAACTTATAAAACATTACACAACATGGGGGAACCTGGAAGAAATTATTCTGAGTGAAATATCTCAGTCACAAAAGGACAAACACTGCATAACATCACTGTTATAAAACAGGAAAGACATGGGGGTGCTGGGAAGAGAATGGGAAAGAGTAGATAATGAACACTGTATTAGAACAGATGAGGGGATGATCTGTCCAAAAGAAATACATGATTAGGCATTATATGTATGGCAAAAATCTGGAACAAGGGATGCACTACAAGGTGGCTTCAGGAAGGGGGGAAGGGAAGAAGAAAATGCCCAACAAATGAAAAAGATAATAAATATTCTTTTAAAAAGGGAGGGGAAATGTATCATTTAGGGTCATCTAAAAAAAAAAAAAAAGGTCTATCAAGCAAGTGCACACAAGTTTCCTGAAGATATTTACTGTGCATGGAGGACACAGAGGGGCATATCTAGGTTGGGCTAGAATGGAGAGGACCTTTGAGCACTGAAACCCACGGAATAGGAAACTGGATCCCTATAGTCTAAATTGCTCAACTTAATGTGTTTTATCACAAGAGCAGCAGATGTTTGGAGCAGATACAATGGAAGACCCTCAGGACTGGAGTTTGTTTCTCAGGAGCCAGTGAGGCTGCAGGTTGACAGCAGCTGCGCAATGTGAGCCTGGGTCTCCTGGGCCACACACTTAAGTAGCCTCCTCTTCCTCCTGTGAGGTGCCTGGAAAGATCTCCTAGAACCCGCTGCTCTGAGCCAAAGAATGGTTTCTCAGTATGCAATGTGTCCCTGGAGGAGGGCAGGTGAGTCAAGCAAGAGCCTTCAAAGGTCTGTTTCTGAGACTTGGTAGAAAACAAAGGTTTTGTAGGCTCTTGTGAGTAGAAGGTTACTCTAAAGTGACAACAGGAGAGAAATCCAGATTTTCTTCTCCTTCTCTCTAAATTCAGGGGCAATATGCCTTTTCCTGAGAAACCCATACCATATTTACCACCCTAGCCTCAAACAGAAAATAGGAACTACTACAAAATCTAAGCAAAGGACATAGTAAAGCAGCCTCAAAAACTTGGAAATTAGAGAAAGAATGCTGTCTCTGGAAGTTAAAATAGCAGATGAGTCAGAGGAGAAATGGGCAAGGACCTGGAGGAGCCAGAATGGTTCTCAGATCAATATTGAGCAAACCACTATTTACATGTTTAGAGAAAAGTGGTTATTTGTGAAAGTGGAGCTTTGCAGTCATGGAGTCAAAAAAACCACTGGCCTGTCCAGGAAGGAGGGAGGCAGGCCAACAGACCGAATATTTAAAATCAAAGAGGAAGCAGCAGGCAGCTCTCTACTGAGAACTTTAGATGACATACTTTTTAATCCAATTCAATCTCACAGCCCCAGGTTTGGGGAAAGGGGCCACACGTACTACCACAGGGTGTGGACAGCCCCTGGGCAGCAATGCTTCACAAACCTTATACCTTCTGCTGATGTCCTGGAGAGAAGCAACGTGGAAATAAATCTCCGAGCAGGTTTTCATCAGATAAGGTCTATAGCAAAGAGTAAATGCTCATGAGGAACTAGAATATTCCATTTTTGGTGATGCCTCTTTTTTTATTATAAATTTATAAAACTGCATTCTGGTTTGTATAGTTGTCTTTTGCGTCTAGGGGGATTGCTTATACACAAACATTACATTTACCCTGGGTATGCTGACATCAGGAAGGGAGTATGTCAGGGATGTGTCCTATCACCATCCCTTTTTAATCTATATGCAGAACAGATAATTCAGGAGGCTGGGCTTTATGAGGAGGAATGTGGCCTCAAGATTGGAAGAAGACTCATCAACAACCTACATTATGCAGATGACAACCTTGCTGGCTGAAAATGAAGAGAACCTGAAGGGCTTACTGCAGAAGGTCACGTATTGTAGTCTTCAATATGGACTGAAGCTCAACATCAAGAAGACCAAGATTTTCACCACTGGGCCAATTAGCAGTACCATTGATGCATGGAGAAGAGATTGAGGTAGTTAACAGTTCCAGCTTGCTTGGCTCCACAATCAACACTCTTGGCACCAGCATTCAGGAAATCAAAAGACAACTTGCATTAGATAAATCTGCTATCAGAGACCTTTATTGAGTACTGAGAAGCACTAATGTCAGTCTAGCGAAAAAGGAGTGCCTGATCTAGGCCATGGTCTTTATAATTATTTGCTACACATCAGAGAGCTGGACTATGACTAAGGATAACAGACGGAGAACTGATGCCTTTGAGTTGTGGTGCTGGAGAAGAGTATTGAACATACCATGGACTGCCAAGAAAAGAAACTGTCTTTGAGAGGCTGAAACCAAGTTTCTCCTTGGAAGCTGGGATTTTGAAGCTCCAACTCACATACTTTGGGCACGTGGCCAGGAGGGATCAATCTTTGGAGAAGAATATCATGTTTGGAAGGGTGGAGGGACCGTGCAGGAGAGGAAGACCCCAGATGAGATGGATTGATACAGTAACTGGTGCAATGGGAGTTGGGTGTCAGAGTCAGTGAGACTGTCTCAGGACAGGGCAGGCTTCAGAGCTGCTGTATACAGGGTCACTCTGAGTCACAGGTGACTCAACGGCACATAACAACAACAACAACATGCTGACATCATTACGGTTCTGAGACAAGAAGACTAGGAGTCAAATTCTGGACTTCAGAAAATCCACAAAGATGTTATACTTTTAGGTTTCAAGGAAAACTGGGCCAGTCTTCCTCAGGCACTGAAATATTTCACACTAATACTGAAAGGCAGGTTGATTCTACTACTGTTCCCTAGAATCAGTCACATCCCTAGGTCTGGGCGACATGCTCTGTAGGATGATAGCTGGTCTCAGGCTCACTATCAGGACCAAAGACACTTCCAAGTGGTTAGTGAGAGGCCCCCTTTCATCTTTAAACCACTGACAGCTCATCTAGCTATTGTTAGGCAAAGATAAAGAAACAACTGAAACTTACTGGTATAAAGAGAGACATACAGATCAAAGGAACAGAGCTGAGAGCCAGGACAGAACTTAAGTACTTAATTCCTAATATTTACAGTCAGTTGATATCTAATAAGGCATCAAGAAAGGCAATTCAATGGGGGAAGGATTGCTTTTTAACAAATGGTACCAAGACAAGTGGATTCACATGTAAAAGAGGAATCTGGACTCAAACTTAATACCACACATAAAAATTAAATCATCAGCTTACATGCAAAATCAAAAGTTTTAAAGGAAAAAATATATGTAGCTAGGTAAAATTTCTTAGAAACAACACCAGAAGAATTGTCTTGAAGAGGAGTAAGGAGTGAGATGAAAGATAAATCAGATTCCACAAAAATGTATAATTTTTCTGCTACAAACAACACTAAGAAAATTAAAGACAAGCAAGAGATTGAAAGAAAATATTTGCAATACATGTACATAATAACTTGCATTTTTTAATATAAAAAACACTCTTACAACTCAGTAATAAGATAAATAACCCAATTAAAAAAAATGGGCAAAAGCCTTGAAAAGACATTTTATCAAAGATGATACAAGAATACAAACAAGCAATAAAAAGATATTCAACATCATGAGTCATTAGAGAAAAATGAAAATGAAAGTCACTATGAGATACAATGTCACACCTCCTAGAATGACCTCTGGTGGTCTAGTTGGCAGGGGTTTGTACTGCTCACCCAAAGGCCACAGCTCTCTGGTGATTTAAATCCACCAGTGGCTCCTTGAGAGGCAAACAGGTGGTTTCCCCATGTGAATCACAAACCTGGAAACTCAAGGGAAGGTCAGCTATGAGATGGTTTCAACTTGATGGCAATGAGAGCACAATCTTAATAAAAAGGAAAATGACAAATATCAAGCACATGGAGAAAGGGAAATCCTCATACACTGCTGGTGAACATGTACAATAGGATATGTACAACTGGCCACTTTGGAAAGCAATTTGGTGGAGGTAGTTGTTTGTCTGCCACTAAGTCAGAATCACAGCTTCATAGGCTGTAGATTGCATGGTAGGAGGAAAGCGCCCATCTTTCTCCTGCAAAGCAGCTGGTGTATTTGAACTGCCTGCCTTTGGCTTGGCTGCACAACTCCGTATCACTAAGCCACAAGAGCTCCCTAGCAGTTTGGTGGTGGTGGCGGTTGTGTGCTGTCGAGTTGGAACTGACTCATAGCTGACCCTCCAGTGAGTTTTCAGAGGCAATATATCCACACAGGCGGAGACTGCCCATTTTTCTTCTGGTGTATTTGAACTGCTTACCATTGGGATTGCAGGGCAGAGTCTTATCAGTAGGCTACTGGATAAATTTAGCAGTGTCTTTAAAAATAAATCAAAACAAAAACTAACAAATTTACCATCTGACTTGTAAATTCTAATAGACTCTCCCCATGAAAAAGCATATATCCACACAGAGACTTGAATATGAATGTTACTGGCAGCAGTATTCTTAGTAAAAAATGTGGCATATTCATGTAATGGAAAACTCTCTCACTGCCACTGACTCAGTTCAGTCTCACAGCTGACATTTCGGCAAGCTCCAAGGCCAAATCGCATAGGAGCCGGCCCATCTTCCTCCAGGGAACAGCTGATCAATTTGAATCGCCAGCAAAGTATGGCCTTTGGGTTAGTGGTGCGGCTTTCTATGGACAGCACCAACAGAACAACTGAAAAACATCCTGGGACAAAATGGAACAAATTACGGACATATTCTATGATGTGGATGGGCCTTGAAGACATTATGCCAAGTGACAGAGGCCAGATGTAAGATCACATATTCTAAGACTTCATTTATACAAAATGACCAGAAATGTAAACCTAGAGAGATCAGAGGGTCAGCAGGCACCTGGAGCAGGAGGGAGAAATGGGTTTAACAGTGAACAGACATGATCATTTACTGGGATAGGAAAATGTTCTATAGCTCGTTTGTATGGATAGCTTGTTTAACTTGTTATAAACTTACTGATAAACGTGTTATGTTTAAAAAAAAAGAAAATCATTGAACTATACATTTAAAATGGGTGATATGCATGCGTGAAATATAAAAAATAAAGTTAAAAAAACACAAAACAATAAACCTCTAAAATTCATGATTACGAGGAAGTGATACAACCAACTGAAACTACAGCGTACAGCAAGTGACAAGAGGTAAAACAACAAAGGATAGTCCACAGAGTCAGTGACTTCAAAAAGTAAATGAGCAAAAGAGCCGCCTTTCTGCATCAGTGGAGGCTTGGGGAGATGCCAGTCACTGCTGCTGAACCTGTGGAAGGCTTCCAGGGTGGCAGCCTTAGGACAGAGCAGCAGGGACAGAGGATCACAAAACCAAAGGAGCAGGCCCAAGAGCGGCCTCAGGAGCACAATCCCATGCTGGCCAATGGAGGGAGCGAAGGAAGGGAATGGGAGGGATCAGGGTAACAGCTTCTTCTCCTCTCTCCACTCCTCAGCTGTAGGACTCCTCTGTGTGCGACACCGTGCAGCCTTGCTTCCTGCTCACTCCCTCTTTCTCTCCCTCTCCATGACTAGCATTCTAGCAAAGAGCATGACTCCTTTCTACTGAGGAGTCCTCCCCTGGCCCTTGCTTTTGTCCCTGCTCAGGGTAGAAATGACAGGTTGCTAGAGGCTCTGACTCTAACTTGCTCAATAAGCTCATTTCCTGGAGTAAGTTATAGGAAGTTCATTTTGGTCTTGTCGATCATGCTGTGGTTGACAATGAAACACTACATTTTTCATTCCTGCCTGGCTTGAGCATACCTCTTAACTGGCTCTGACTGGAGAGAGAGGGCATTTTGAATAATCAGGTCTTCCTAAAGTCAAACTCCACCAAGTATTAGTCACTCACCACTGTCCTCTGCCATCTGCCACACCTGCAGGGAACAAGCTGGGAGGCCACTGGTTACCAGACACCTATCAGAATGGAAAGAGAATCTTAGTTCAGAGTCTGGAGTGAATCTAAGAATGGGTTTGAGCATGGTGGGCATTGTGAGGTTGGAGCAGGATAGAGCAGGGATTTGAACTCTGTTCTTGGAGTCAATGAATTGTAGTCAACTTAATGGCACCTAACAACACAGAACTTACCATTTTCTCTTCTCCAACCCATTCCGCTTGGAGTTCCTAGATCTCCCCACATCATGAAATCTTATTACTAGAAGGGCTCATTCACTCTCATTTAACAGATGAGGAGCAGCCTCACTCTGCCTCAAAGACAGGGCTATGGCTCACAGAGCGTCCATAGGAGAGTTGAGATTGAACTCAGATCAATATGCGTTATGATGCTCACTTTGAGAGAACACTCAGTATGGAGTGTGAACTCACAATCCTAGCCCACAGACTCAGTCTCTTCCAATTGACTTCCTACAATCAGCTCTCTGAGAAATCAAGCACATCCTTATTTTATTACTTAAGCAACTCCAGGCATAAGGACTATACAGGACAGCAATGATTTGTTTTCCAAACATCCATATACATGCATGTATGTGTGTTCACACATGCCTTGTTGAGGCAGTACTACTGATAAAAAGGCAAAGATCCATGAATATTTCCAATCACTCTTTCTTGAATGAAAGATCTGAAAAAAGGAACTGAACCATACCTGGTCTCTGGTACATGCTTTAGATCAAAGATGGGCTTGTCTGAAAATCCTCCGTGGCACACATTGAAATCTCTTTCTGGGAACAAGCCCTAAAATAGAAAGGCATAGACAATCAGTCTGTTTTCCAAAGGAACATTTCAGAGGAGCTCCAAGCAAGGAGGCAGATCATAGACTAGCAAGAGACCATGGGGGCTATTTGGCTGGGAAGAGAGGCTTCTCCTTTCAGGACCGCAGGGTGTGATTCTTCACAAATTATGGTCTCATTTGGAACCCTCACACATTTCACTGGCCTCTTCTACAAAAACCATCAATCTTATACTCAAGAGACTTCTTGAGGAGCTGCAGAGGCTTAGAAACATCATTTTTAAAAAGCTGGTATAGGGAGCTCTGGTGGCCTAGTGGCAAGAAGCTGCACTGTAATCCCAGAGATTAGGCAGTTTGAATCCACCAGATGTTCTGCTGGAGAAGGAGGGACAATCTCCTCCTGTACCAGTCAAATCAGATTTGATGGTACACACACACAAAATAATAAAATTTAAAAAATTTTTTTAAAAAGCTGGTATATCGAGGCAAATACATGGGGACAGGATCATGTTCCCTCCTTCCTATTACTTCTGTATTTTCACCCTAAACCTCATCATGCACTGCTTCCCCTTAGTTTCTAATTCTACTTAAGCCTCTCTGTATTAAAAAAACCCTCCAATCTGCTTCCTATCCAGCCATTTCTTCAGTTTCTTCCCTTACTCTTCCTTTTCTGACTCCACTCTGTCCTTCTTTTCAGTATTTTAGGGAGCTATGGTAGCACAAGCCACAGGCAGTTGAACTGCTAAGCCAAAAGTTGTACCTTTCTGGAGGTTTCAATCCACCAGCAATTCCTTGGGAGAAAGGCAATCTCCTTCCATGCAATTTACAGCCTCACAAGTCTGTTTGAGGGTCAGGTTACAAGTCAGTTTCAACTGGGAGGCAATGAGGTTGAGGTTTCAATATTTTGCCCTGATTACATCACAAAAATGTACTGGCAAAGATTAACAATGACTTCTAAGTCTAATGGATGACTCTTTCAACCCTCATCTAAATGATTTTATAGACAGTTACCCACTCTTTCCTTCTTGACATGTTCTCTTTTCTTGGCTTCTGAAATTACCCTTTCTTCCCCTCCCCCCTTTTTACCTATTTTTATTGAGATTTTAATGAAAGTTTATAGAGAACTTGGATTTCCATTCATTCATTGTTGCACATTTTTCTCCCGGCCTTTCGCAACCCCTTCCCAGTTAGCTTTTTTCTTTGGAAAAAAAATTCTTTCATTGTTATACAGTCTCCCCCCCAGTCCACTTTACTATGCATCTTTATTCTGAACTCTTGTCATGCCAATAATACCTAATTATATATTGCTTTTATACAGTTCTCTCCGTCTGTTTCAATGCTGTGTACACTACTTATAACAGTGCAATTATGAAGTATTTGTCTTTTTTGTGACTGAGATATTTCACTCAGCATAATGTCCTCCAGGGTCTCCCATTTTGTATAACGTTTCATGAGTTCATTGTTCTTCAGTGCTGTAAAATATTCCACTGTGTGAATATACCACAGCTTCTCTATCCATTCATTTGCTGATGGGCACTTGGGTTGTTTCCAACTCTTTGCTATCCTAAATAAAGCCACAATAGACATGGGTGAGCATATATCTGCTTGGGTGGCAGTTCTGGTTTCTTTAGGGTATATTTCCAGTAGTGGAATTGCTGGGTCAAATGGTATTTCTGTATTTCCAACTTTTTGAGAAAGCGCCATACTGCCTTCCATAGTGGTTACACCACTTTACACTTCCACCAACAGTGAATAAGGGTTCCAGTTTCTCCACAACTTTGCCAGCATTTGTTGATTGCTGCTCTGTTGAATCTTGCTGTTGTTACTGGGGTGAGATGGTATCTCATAGTTGTTTTGATTTGCTTCTCTCTGAGAGCTAGGGATTTTGAACATTTCTTCATGTGCTTGTTAGCCATCTGAATGTCTTCTTTGTTGAAGTTTCTGTTCATATCCTGTGCCCATTTTGCAACTGGGTTGTTTACCTTTATCTTGTTGTGGTGCAATGATGACCTTTTTTGAGACTCCTACTTCGAAGACTGGTCCTTTTCAGTATTTCTTGGGAGTTTTCCTATTCCTTTACCCATTCTTTTTAAATTTTTGTGTGTGTGTACTGTCAAATCACAACTGACTGGTACAGGAGGAGATTGCCCCTCCTTCTCCATCCATCTGGTGGATTCGAACCAGGTACCTCTTGGATTGCAGTACAGCTGCTTGCCCCTAGGTCACCAGAGCTCCCTTACCCATTTTTTATACATATTCCTTAGATTCTCTCTTGAGCCTCCTCTCAATCTTACCGCAGGTGATCTAAACCACCCTAAAGGCCTTCTATATCCTAAGGCTTTCTCACTCTACATCTGAGAAAAAAAAATGAAACTTTTCTTACAGTAACCTTCTGCAAACCACTGCAGTCTGCACTAGTCTGACAAACATTTATCTCTGTATTTGCCCTACTCAAGACTTTCAGGGTGGGCTGTGTTGGTCTCTCCACCAAGTATCTAGGACTGTGCTTGGCAGATAATTTGTTGTTGCTGTTGTTGAGTACTGTCAACTCAGAACCAATCCAGAGCTGACCATCCAGAAGGTTTTCAGAGGCAGTCAAACACACAGGAGGAGCCTGCTCATCTTTCTTGAAGAGTTGAACCATGCACCTTTGTGTTGGCAGCACAATTCCCTTCCACTAAGCCACCAGAGGAACTCCATAAATATTTAATAAATGAACATAAGTCTACACATAAACTTAGCATTCATATTCAAGTTACCTGGTTTTCCTTCACAGAAAGTCTGAGAGGCAGTATCAGATGAAGAATCTCATTTTTTTTCAGGCTTTCATAGCCAGCAACAAAGACACCTGGAGGTAAAAATAGAAGTAGCTAGCTGTGACAACACTGAAGATTCTGGACTATGGTTGGGTCTAGATACGCCCGCAGATCCACTAAAACAAGAATAAATCGCTTTGCCATCAGCTTACAGCCTTGGGTTAATGGACCAAAGAGATCCTAACAAGAGGAATATAAAGGTCACCGGGATGCTAAATTTCTGTAAGTGACATGAAGTTCTCGGGCTCCAGGAAAAGCAGGCTGGATTTTCCCAAGCTGGATTCAAACTTCTAGTTTGAGATGTGGGATTCTATCTCCTTCAGGACCAGGACAGGCACGTCACCTTTGTCATCAGTCCATTCAAGGACACGAGTGGCTCCTGAGAGGTCGAATGCGTGGAAATCCTGGTACCTGCATGATAAAGTCACAGGATGTATGTCACTTCATTGGGAAAGAACTCTGCTATGGCAGCATGATTTGACGTTCAGGGATGTAGGTTCCGGAGTCAGGCTGACCTGGGACCACCTACTCTGGTTCTACCATTACACTCGCACACTCCCTTGAGTGACCCGATCCATATCAGTCATCAATCTCCCTGAGGCTCAGGTCTCATCTGTTAACAGATGAGACCTGTATGCTCCTTGGCATCCAGGCTTTCCAGGGATGATGTAAGAAATCAATGAGATAACGGGGGGGGAGTGTTAACGAGGAGCCGGATGTAATACACTGGTCACACAGACCTTATTTTTATTTCTCACATACACTTCCCTAACCAGTTCTTCACACAGCTGGAGCGCGTGGGACTGTGCTCCTCTCCAGATGCCAAAGGCCTTGGAGGGAGTTCTGGTGGCCTTGTGGGTGAGGAGTTATGCAGCCAACCAAAGGCTTGCAGTTCGATTCCACCAACTGCTCCTCGAGAAGAAGGCGGACAACCTCATCCCTTATGACTCGATGGCAAAGAGCCGGAGGCGGGATCTAGGTAGAACCTTCCGTTTCGCTCCCGCCTCGCCACCAGCACTGGTTCGACCTGCACCAGGTTTCACTCCCCTCCCTCTCTCGCCCTGCACCCGGCACCCCGCGCCCGTTCCGTCCCCACACTAGCTCCCTGGCACGCCCTGCCTCCCAGTTCCATAAGCTTTACAAGCGTAAGGACTCCACAAGCCAGTCCTCACTGGCCTCCATGGCAACTGCGGCTTCCGACGTCCCACTTCCTCTTTTGAACGTTCCAAGGACCTATCGCGAGAAGTGATTCTGAGCTGTGGGCGTGGTCAGGCGTCAGGAGGCGGTCCCGCGGCGCCCGGGGCCCACGGCAGCTGTGGGACGGGACTCTGGGGAAAGATGACGTAGGGTCTGGGATTCCCAGGATGTCAGCTCTGGGCGGGGCCCGAGGTACCCGCTACCCGCTCGTTTTTAGACTCAGTATTTTCAACTTGCAATGTGGAAGTTCCAACGCTAAGATTGCCAGATAAAACTTACCTTTTAATTTCAAATAATTTTTTTGGCATAAGACTTTTTGGAATAAATCTGGGAACTCTACCGGGGCCAGAGAGTAAGCAGAGAGCCAGTGCAGATACCATTTCGGTTCTTGGCCCTGTATTCGCGTGGCGCTCCTGGCATTTCATTGCCATGAAATGAGAAGAGATGTGTGAGCCTGGAATGTACTGTTGGGAATCCCTTTTTGCAGTGGGGAACAGGTCAGGGACTTGTCTGTGCCGGTAGGTGGCAGGGCTGAGAATAGAACCTATACTCCTCGGGAGTCAGTTCCGACTCATCGCTGACCTCCCCATCGCCTTTCCCAGGTGGTAAATAACTGAAGGATCCTCCATTCTTCCTCTGCAGAACCCGTGGCAGATTCAAACCGCCTGAGAGGCACAGGCTTTTGGGTAAGCAGTGCAGCTCGCTACGACTGTGCCACAACAGCTCCGTATGTGTAGAACAGGAGGTGAATAACTCCTTTAAATGAGTGAATGAATGAACCCAGAGTCAGTGCTGGGCTCATGCCATGCAGAGTTTTGAGCTTTTTTGGGAGCTAGCCAATCTCACCAGTCCCCTTGTCCTCCCTTCCATTCCCTTAAATTTAGCTGGAAAGAAAGGACCAAACATTCTAAATAAAGCGCAGGGTTTTATTCACAACTTCAACAGAGAAGCAAGAAATACAGCTGGAACATCATCATTTGTGTCTGAACTGGTAATATTCCTGGTGACTCCGACCAGAAATCACAGTACTGGAGTTACAGAGATCTGATCCCAGGGTCTACATTCAGAGGGGGCCATGACGAAGGTCCCATTAAGCCTCTTTCCTGGGTGGGCACAATCTAAGCCGTGACGTTGTGGCTGCCCCATTATTTGCTTCACTTCCGCAGTATGTTCACCAGCAGCCTCCTGTACTGAAGGGGAACACACAGAGGAAATGACAATGTCATTCCTAAGTGCTAGGCGTCTGCAGTAGTGGGAACATAGTAAGTGCCCAGCTGTAGCTGTTCCCCACCACCTTTCTCCCCATTGGGCCTGGGAGGGTTCAGGGGCAGTGATTTCCTCAGAATAGCAGCCCAAACCTCATAGGGTGGTTAAGACACTCAAAGGAGATCAAGGAAGTCCAACAGTGCCTGACACCGGCCCTCACTCCCTGCCCCTCAGCTCTGCTTTTGATCTCACTTCTGAAGCCCCACACCCACACCCTAGGGTTAGGTACTGCATGCTTCAGGCCTTCAAAACCTGTGGTCCCAAAGGTGCCATCATCCTTCAGGTGCAGCCAACCTAACTAAGCTTCTGATTCTTAACTCTGAAGTCCCTGGGGTTTGGGAGGTTCTGTGCATCAGTAGGGTTACAGAAGGTGGATGGAGTTGGGATCCTCTCTAGGGATCCTTTCCCTGTTCTTTCAACAGATATGCATTACACATTAGCCATGGTGGGGGATACAAAAGAGAGGAACAGGGGCTTCCGGGAGCACACAGACGGGAAGGAGGGACTTTAACTCTCTTTTACTAAATAAATACATGAAGGAGTCATAATAGGTTAAGTGTTGGGCTGCTATCTAAAAGGTCAATAGTTCAAACTCAACTGCTGCTCCAAGGAAGAAAAATGAGACATACAATCTCAGAAAACTGATGGTGCGACTTTACTCTATGCTGTAGGGTCACTATGCATAGGAATCGACTTCATAGCACTGAAATTGGTTTTAGTTTTCTGTGCACCAAGCTAAGCAAGTGACATAAATGTTCTCACTGAATGAGAGATACACACTGTTTCATCCCTGTTTTATGGATGAGGAAAATGATGTTTAGATTAAATGGCATTTTAAAAAAAACATTTTCCTTTATTAGTGTGTGTGTGCTGTCAAATTGGATCTGACTGGTAGAGGAGGAGATTGCACTTCTTTTTCTGGAAGAGCATCTGGTGGATTCGAACCGCATATCCCTGGGATTGCAGTGCAGCTTCTTGCCACTAGACCACCAGAGCTCCCTTAAATGGCATTTTTAAAGCCACAAAGCTAGTAAGTGGCAGAAATGGGCTACGAACCCAGCACTTTGTCATCAGAGCCCACATTTATTACCACACTGCCTTCTGTACACAGCAAGTACCAAAGAGGAAGGTGGCAATGGGGACAGCATCAGGAACAGGCATCAGAAGGGCAGCTGCTCTGTCAGGCTAGTGAGTAGGTCTAGGTTGACTTCAGTTTTAAGACTTTGATATAGTATTTATAACTATAGTGATTTTTGCCTCCAACTTCAGGGGATGCTTGGTGATGTGTGGAGACATTCTGTGTTGTCTCAAACAGGGGTGAAGAGGATGATATTGCATCTAGTGGGTAGAGAGACTAAGAATACTGCTAAACATTCCATTTTGCACAGGCCAACTCACCGCAATAATTACCTAGCCCAGAGAATGTCAAGGGACCCTGGCATGGTCACTGAGGCAGCAAGACTGAATGGAAAGAACAAGGCCAAGGAGAAGTCTGGGCTCTGTCTTGACCACTAAACATGGATTATTCTTTTATCTTACAGTCTCATTTTGGCCACAAGCATTTATTTCTTTAGAAGGCACAGCAAATGAGGATTTGGCTAATGTTGGGAGTAGGGACAGTGGTGGGGTAGAGCAAGAGTCTGTGAATGGGGGAGGAAGGTCCTACTGCAAGAAGCTGCACAATCCTAGGTTAAGTCATCTGACAGGACACTGAATCAGGTTGCTCCGCAGGACTTAATAGGGAGATTCTCCCTCTGAGTCCTGAGTCACCGGAAGGGCTGGAACCCTGGCTTTCTGGCATCCATACCCATCACACCTGGAGGGCAGTCACACTCTAAACCCAATGCTCAGTGATAATTCCTCCTCTGCTGGATCCAAGGGTGGCCTGGGCCCAGGGTAAGGGACATGGGGGGGGGGGGCGTTCCTGGCTCACCTGGGCGTGGGCTCCTGGGCTGCCAGGGTTCATGCCCAGGGCTTTCTTTAACAGGAAGATCCTGAGCAGATCATGACTCAGCTGCAGCCTCTGGTCCCTTAGGGAGATGTGGGGAGCAGTCCCCAGTGGGGAGGGAGTGGGGGGCTCCAGACTCTTCTTCCCCATGAAGTGACCTAGAAAGGAAGTGCCAAGGCACATGGAAGTCAGGAGGCAGGACCCCATCACAGTGGGAAAGCTCCCCATCTCGCCCATCTTTCAGTTTTCATGGCAGAAAGATGCACGGCTTTCTTCTTGTTCACCAAGTAGCCACAAAGACACCCTGTCATTCCTCTGTAATAGCAAAGCCTGTACACTCCCACCACCCCAACTTCTCCTGAAAAGATATAGGAGTGGAGAGAATGGCTCCAGGGTCAGGGGAAAAGCCTGCCAGCTGTGTTGTCTGCTTAGAAAGAGAGAGGAAAGGGCAGAGAATGAAGAGGTGCCTGGCAGGTGGAGATGCGGAGGGAGAAGACACAGACAGCAGAGGTTAAGAAGATCCAGAACGCAGAGAGCCGAGAAGGGGCACCAGCTGGCTGTCACAGCTCGCATCTGGAGCCAGCTCTACCTTAAACCTAACCAAGTTACTCGGGGTCTTATTCCACAGGTATTGAATTAAAGCCCAGGGTGCCCACCTGCACATCTATGACTAGAGAGATGGTAAGGGAAAGGACATCAGGACAGGATGGGACAAGCTGCTGGACCAGGTTCCCAGGAACTTACCGGTGGCCCAGAGGTTGCCCCGTGGGTGCACTCGGATTTTGGTGGCCCGGCCTCGAGGCTCAAGGAGGTCCCAGCTGAGCGGGGCGGCGCCGGCAGCCAGCAAAGCAAAGAGAAGCAGGCCACCCAGCAGCTGAGCGCCTCCCGCTCGCCGGGCCATAGCTGTCGCTCAGCGTGTTTCCCAGCGGCGAGGGTGGTGGCACCAAGGATCCTCTCAGCTCATGCCTTCGCTGCTTTTAAACCCGGCCGCTGGGGGCGGAGTCTGCGCAGCGTGCAGCCCGCGTGCGGTCCAGGCGCGCCCCCGCCAGCGCACGTGGGGACCCTGAAGCCTGCGACCTTGTGCCGGGATTTTCACTTTTAAAGGCTCGCCACCCTTGCAGAGTACGTCCACAAGGACTGTGACCCCTCCCAGAAAATTGCACGCCCGCCTGCCTGCCTGACAGACACGTGGGCACAGCTTTCAGAGTGTTGGGCTGAAGCCCAACACCATCAAGCACTCAAATCACCTGTTTTGAGTTTTTCTTCAAAGGGTAAAAATGGAAGGTGAGAAGCCTCCGCTCGCCGAAACCCTGATTTCAGTGTCAGCAAAGTACTCGCCCTCAGAGAGCTACATGACATTTCCCTCACTCCCTGGTCCGTCTTGTTCACTCCTTCCTCTGCCTTCTCTTTGGCAGCACTTGTCAGCTAATCTAGAAATGTCTCATGAGATGGTCCTGGCACACAGTAAATGCTCAGTGTGTGGCTGTGCAATGATGGATGGTGAAATAGGAGCCGGGGAAATAGGAAGCTCTGGTGACCTAGTGGGAAGGAGCCAAACTGCAATCCTGAAACGTGGTTGTTGTTGTTGTTATGTGCCATCGAGTCGCATGCGACTCATAGCGACCCTATGTACAACATCCCTAAACTCTGCTGTCCTGTGCCAATCGCACCGTCTCTGATACACCCATCCCGATTACCCCAGTCATTGAATCAATCCACCTCATAGAGTGTCTTCCCCTCCTGCGCTGTCCCTCCACCCTACCAAGCATGATGTCCCTCTCCAAGGACCTGTCCCTCCTTGCAACATGTCCAAAGTATGTTAGATGGAGCCTCAGAATCCTTGCCTCCAAGGAGCAGCCCGGTTTGACCCTTTCCAGGATGAATCTGTTTGTTTCCCTAGCAGTCCATGGTACCCTCAATACACTTCTCCAGCACCACAGCTCAAAGGCATCAATTCTCCTTCTATCCTCCTTAGTCATTGTCCAAGTCTCTGATGCATAACAAGTGATTGCAAAGACCATGGCCTGTATCAGACGCACCTTAGTCTCCAAAGAGACACCATTGCTCTTCAGTACTTTAGAGAGGTCCCTAACAGCAGACTTTCCCATGGCAATACGTCTTCTAATTTCCTGGCTGCTGGTGCTGAGAGTGTTGACTGTGGAGCCAAGCAAACTAAATCTGTGAACAGTCTCAATCTCTTCACCATCCATCCTGATGCTGCCAATTGGTCTAGTGGTGAGAATCTATGTCTTCTTGACATTGGGCCTCAATCCATATTGGAGGCTGCAGTCCTTGACCCTCTGCAGCAAGCGCTTCAGGTCCTCCTCAGTTTCAGCAAGCAGGGTTGTATCATCTGCATATCGCAGATTGTAGATAGATTTTCCACCAATCTTGACCGACCCCACATTTCTCCTCATAGAGCCCAGCCTCCCAGATATGGGGACAGGACATATCCCTGGTGTACTCCCTTCCCAATTTTGAACCATGCAGTGTTCCCTTGCTCTGTTCTGACGACTGCCTCTTGGTCCCATTAGAGGTTTCTCATTAGCACGATCAAGTGTTCTGGTATTCCCATTCTTCCCAGAGTCAGCCACAGTTTGTTATGAACTACACAGTCAAACGCCTTTGCATAGTCAATGAAACACAGATAGACATTCCTCTGGTATTCCCTGCTTTCAGCTAAGATCCACCTAACATTAGCTACAATATCCCTAGTACCACGACCCCTTCTAAACCCAGCCTGGACTTCTGGCAGTTCTTAGCCTGAAAGGTACTTGATTCAAATTTATCAGCTGCTGCAAGGGAGAAAGGTGGGCAAACTCCTCTCACGTGATTTGCAGCCTCTGAAAACTAGAGGGTCAGCACTACAGCAGCAGCACCCAAGGAAGAACTCTAATGGCCTAATGTGTAGGGAGTTTTGCTGCCAACAAAAAGGCAAGGGGTCTACAACCAGGAGAGGATAAAATAGATGAATGGGACCTTCTAAGAATCAAATCCTTATGCACACCCAAAAACTTCTCCAACAGGGTAAAAAGGGAAGCCACAGACTGGGGAAAAAATTTGGTAATGACATGTCAGATAAAGGACTTATATCTAGAATTTATAAAATACTCGCGCACCACAATAAGATAAAGGTAAACAACCCAATTGAAAAATAAATGGGCACAGAACAGATGTGAGAAAGAACTGTTTAAAAGGGATATGTGATTAGGTATTATTGTCATGATAGGAGTCCAGAACGAAGGCTGCATAATGGAGTGGACCTGGGGGAAGGGATTGTAAAACAATGAAAGAATTTTTCTTTTACTTTGCAAAGAGAAGAGCAAACTGGGGGGTAGGTTGGGCAAGGAGAAAAGTGCAACAATGGATGAATGGAAATCCAAAGTCTCTGTAAGCTTTCATTAAAATTAATTTTTTTTTAAAAAAAATCCAGCAACTGCTCCGAAATAGATGGGCAATTTCCTCTCATGCTGTTTACAGCCTCTGGAACCCGATGGCGTTTCACTTCAGCTATGAGTTGGTTTTAGCTCAACAACAATGAACAATGATCTGAATATCATCTTCCTGGTAGGAAGAGCCTGGCCCATCAATTGAGCAGCAGGTAGACCTTTTCTGGGCCTGGGGAGAGGAAACAGCACAGACACAGAGATTCATATATAAGCCATGTGGCTCTGTAAAGCCTCAAAAAAACTCCATTTGTTAATGAGGACACCACATTGCCCTATCTGAAAAATTATTTTCCATCTTTTAAGTACTGTAATTTTATGGCAGGAAGGAATGGTTCCATAGAACCTACTCTAAGCACAGTGTCCTCACAAGAAGCTGTTAGGATTTCTCTCAGGAAGCAATAACTTTTGGATAAATGGCATCACGTGTTGAACAAGGGAAAATACAATGTTCCAGAAGAATATAGTCCTCTTTTTCTCAAACATTTACTAGGACCTGACGTTCTACTTGTTTAAAAACTGGCCAGTGAAAGCATTACGAACAATAGTGGAAAGTTACCTGAAAAAGTGCCAGAAAATGAGGCCTCCAGGTTGGAAGACACTTAAAATATGACTGGAAGAGCTCTCTCCTCAAAGAAGAGTCTCCCTTAAATGCTGTGCATGGAGGAAAGCCTTCACCTAATGAAGGACCTTCATTTGCTGATATGGCAAGACTCAAGAGGAGAAACAACTGCAAGCATCAGTTACTAATCGGGATGTCAAATGTCCAAAGTATGAATTAAGAAAAATTCGAAGTTGTAAAAAATGAAATGGAACAAAATAATACCAATATGCTAAGTACTAGTGATCTGAAATGGACTGTTATTGGCGATTTTGATTTGGACAACAATATGGTTGTGTGTCAGTTTGGCTGCCTTTGAGTCTTTGGTTTGGCAGTATTCACTCCCTTGGTGAGATCTGATTATTTCTTTGATGTTTTGTTATTACTACTGAGTCAAAACTGACTCATAGCTGACCTTCCACTGGGTTTTCAGAGGCTGTAATTTGCATGAAGGATTTCCCATCTCTCTCCTATGGTGCAGCTGACCTTATATCATGTAATTACCCTCATGATGAGATCTGCTTGCTGTTGTTGTTAGGTGCTGTCGAGGATAACTCACAGCAACCTATGAACATCATTCTGAACCCTGTCCAATCCTGTGCCATCCTCACCATCTCCAACACACTTAAGCCCACTGTTGTGTCAATCCATCTTGGTGAGGTTCTTCCTCTCATTTGGTGACCCTCCATATTTCCAAGCATGATATTCCTACCCAAGGAATAACCTCTCCTAGCAACATGCCCAAAATATGTGAGATGAGGTTCACTATCCTTGCCTCCAAAGAACGGCTACACTTTTCTAAGACAAAAATTCGTTTTTGGCAGTCCATGAGATATTCAGTGCTCTTCAGTGCTCTCTTTCCAACACCACAACTCAAAGGCATCAGTTCGTTCAAGTTAAAGGCTCATGTCAGATGAGATTTGGTATGAACAGTTAATCACCTGAAAGGGAGTCTGGGAATGTGGTTTATACTGAATATACAAGGATGCCATGTCAGTACACACTGGCTACTAGAAGTTGCCCTAGGAGTTATAAGAGATGGATGAATATAAATATTGATTTAATTTGTACAAGTGAAAAAATTCTAGGGTGTGTTAACAGCAGTTTAATGTGAATCATTAGACTCAATTCTTAGACTTAAGTCAGTTTAGCCTAACTTTATCCCTAGGTCATAAAAGAATACCTAGACCCCAGCAACAACAGCTAAGTTCAACAGGAGAGCAAACAAGAAATGCTGGCAAGGCTGTGGAGAGAATGGAAATCTTACTCACTGCTGGTGGGAATGTAAAATGGTACAACCACTATGGAAGGCAGTCTGATACTTGCTCAAAGAGTTGGAAATAGAAATACCATTTGATCCAGCAATTCCACTACTGGGAATATGTTGTTGTTGTTGCTATGTTCTGCTGAGTCTCCTGCTACTCACAGCGACCCTATGTAAAACAGCTTTGAAGCCTGTCCTGTCCTGAGCCAGTCTCACTGATACTGACACATCTACCCCCATTGCTGTAGTTACTGTATTAATCCATCTCATGCAGGGTCTTCCTCCCCTGTTCTGTCCCTCCACCCTTCTGAGCATGATGTCCTTCTTCAAGGACCTGTCCTTCCTGGCTACATGACCAAAGTATGTGAGATAGAGCTTAAAAAAATCCTAGCCTCCAAGGAGAAAGTAGGGAGCTCTGGTGGCCTATATAATACGAAACCTATACTTGGACCAAGAGGCAGTAGTCAGAACAGAGCAGGGTAACACTGCGTGGTTCAAAATTGGGAAGGGTGTACGCCAGGGATGCATCCTGTCTCCATACCTTTTCAGCATGTATGCAGAGCAGATTATCCGAGAGGCTGGGCTCTATG